AAAAAAAAAAAAGGAGTGTAAAAGGGTCCCAAGACCGAAATATTTGAAAACTGCTGCTTTAAGGGTATCTGCTGGGCAGTTCCTTTAGTGGTTTCACAGTTGGATATTTAATGAATGAGAATTGTACTCCAGAAGAATGTTTTGCTCTAGAAGGAAGTTGGGAAATGTTTTCTTCATTTCTGAATGTTCTCTATTAACAGATATCATATATCCTGTGGCTCTCATTAATTCATCTAATTGCTTGATATTGTTGATTGTTACTGAACTAGTAACAAAAGAAAAAAAATTCTGATATTGAGAAAGGCTATTTGAAATTTATCAAGCTAAGTCTGCCTCATAGCAGAAACTAATTTGTTTAATGACTACGATATATATTTTATATGGTTTTGGTTTTCCCACTAGCATTTAGAAGTGCTTATTTATTTCCAGTGGAGATCTGGATGTTTCTGATTCATTGGTTTTGAGAGCTACAGAAAGACTAAAGGTATGCGTTGCCTGTTAAATGTGAAGGACTTAAATTCTCTAAATTTATATTATTAAATGGTATTTTAGCTGCAGTGCTTTCGAGATGACATAAATCATAATAGAATGGCCTATAGTAAATATTCAGCTGAGGACTGTTGGTCTATAAATATAGAACATGCACCTCCCATTCCCCTTTCCCCTAACTAATCGATAATCAATCAGCACTGTGTGTCACTGAAGCTTAGAAACCTCAGCACAGCTAATAGTTGATGAGAGCTGGCACTCAAGAGAAAACCTATTTTCCTTGGCCTGGTGTGGTGGCTCACGCCTGTAATCCCAGCACTTTGGGAGGCTGAGGAGGGCAGATCACCTGAGGTCAGGCATTGGAGACCAGCCTGGCCAATGTGGTGAAACCCTGTCTCTACTAAAAGTACAAAATTAGCCGGGTGTGGTGGCAGGTGCCTGTAATCCCAGTTACTCAGGAGGCTGAGGCAGGAGAATCGCTTGAACCCAGGAGGTGGAGGTTGCAGTGAACCGAGATCGCACCATTGCACTCCAGCCTGGGCAACAAAAGTGAGACTCCATCTCAAAAAAAAGCCCTGGTTTCCCCCTTGGGCTTCTACCTGGGGGCATGCAGGAATTATAATGACCTAATTCTACAGGAAGTTTTTCATTTAAAAAAATTTCTTAAGAGTGGAACTGCTAGATTATATAAAAATTTTAAAAATATTTAGAAATCATTTAGGGCAGAAAAAGTAGAGTAGCAAAATGTATATACAGATTATTCATCTCTTAAAATGTATCTAGTATTTCTCCAAGGGGGAAAAAAATCAGGTTTACAGAAAAAAATAAACCTGTATTTCTCAGTTTAAAATTGTTTGTTGGGCTTTCTGACTTTTAGTCTCAATTCCCCCGGCCTCTGAACAGTTCTGGAGAGCAAAGTGATGTCAGGGGCTTTTATGAGGACAACAGTTGAACAAATTCAAATGGGGACCTGTCCTGACTTTTAGATTTTTTATTCCTATGGCTTAATTTTTTAAACTGTAAAGCCCTGGAGTAGTGATAAAACACCTACCCTGATCACCTTTACCCAGAAGATGTGGCAGGAGAGGCCAGGCCGTGTCCCTGGCAGCCATTTGCCGTTAGACGAGATAGACGCTTTCAGGGTGGTATGGCCGTAAACCCGTTTGCCTTTAGAAAATACTTGGCTATGAACGATGCTTGCCTTCCCATCCCAGCCTGATATGATTTACTCCCGTATCATTTTTGTTCAAGAGAACAAAATCACCGCACGCTTTTAATGGGCTATTGAATAACAAAACAAGTTGCTCAGTTGTGTTTTCAAAATGTCAGACTTGGCAGTTTTAAAGCATCCCTCAGAAACCATGAGGGATTGGTTCTAGGACCCCTCAGATACCAGAATCCTTGGGCGCTCAAGTCCCTTATGTAAGATGGCAGAGCATTGTGTATTTGCATATAATGTATGCACATCCTCCTGTATACTTTATTTTATTTATTTATTTATTTATTTTTGAGATGGAATCTCGCCCTGTCTCCCAGGCTGGAGTGCAGTGGTGTGATCTTGGCTCACTGCAGCCTCCGCCTCCCAGGTTCAAACGATTCTCCTGCCTCAGCCTCCTGAGTAGCTGGGATTACACTTGCCTGTCACCATGGCTGGCTAATTTTTACATTTTTGGTAGAGACAGGGTTTCACCATGTTGGCCAAGCTGGTCTCGAACTTCTGACCTCAAATGATCCACCAGCGTCAGCCTCCCAAAGTTCTGGGATTACAGGCATGAGCCACCACGCCCTCGTTTCCTGTATACTTTAAATCATCTCTGCATTACTTATAAGGCCAAATACAATCTAAATGCTATGTAAGTAGTTGTTACACTGCATTTTTAAGAAATGACAAGAAAAAAAGTCTGTACACGATCGGCACAGATACAACTCTCCAGTTTTTTTTCCCCTAATATTTTTCACCTAAGGTTGGTTGAACCCACAGATACACAACCAGTGGATATGGAGGGCTGCCTGTACTCCAGAAGTCATGCTAAGATGGCTGCATCCCATCTTGTAGACTGTTAACATTGTTGGCATTGGTATATGCATTGGTATATTTTGGGTATTGGCATACATCACGAGCTTGTAGTGTTCCCTTTGATTTTTGTTTGGGTCATGGCCAATACTGACCAAAGACTTGCCACACAGATAAGAAGATACAATACATTGTCTGTCTCGCCTATATTTTAACCCAGCTCTCCTTAAACCTTAATGTGTGTACAAATCGCGAGGGAATCTTGTCAAGTTGCAGATTCGGATTCATTAGCTCTGGGACAGGGCCGGGCTCTGCAGCTCCAACAGGCTCCCGCATGCTGCTCATTCTGCCGGTCTGCAGACCACACGTTGAGCGCAAAGTCGTTTCACTCGTCTTCTACCTGAACTTCTGGATTTGTTTTGTTTTCCCTCCAACAAGGTTACAAAGACTTCAGGTTTGAGACCAATGGAACCAAAAGATATCAAATCAGTTCGAGAATTAATCAACACTTACCTGAAGCAGTTTCATCTGGCTCCAGTGATGGATGAAGAGGAAGTGGCCCACTGGTTCCTCCCCCGGGAGCACATCATTGACACGTTTGTAGTGGAGGTAAAGACAAGGTGATAAACATAAAGCTTCTCCTTGGAGCACCCTTTGTGTTCAGTGCGCAGCAGAAGTATTTACACACACTTCCTTCCATTTCATCACAGAACATTACAAAGATGCATACTTAAAGGGTTGAGAGTTAATAAGATGAAGAATTCTTCATACTCTATCAAGGACATGCTTAAGTGAAACTGACATTTGTTGAACCCTGAGGGTGTGGTGTTGAGGAATATGGTGACCACGTATGTGGTCTGGTGCCATTGTCTTGTTTTGTGCTAAGGCACCAGCAGTTTTACCCACAGCACTGCTTTTGCACCGTTGGTGCTGATGGTAACATATCAACAAGGCAAACAGCTTCTTAGTGTTATGAAAATAATTTTGACCTCACAGATTTCTGAAAGGGTCTCAGGTACCCACAGGGTTCACAGACCACATTTTGAGAACTGCTCTCCAGGGCATATAATTAGAGTCTGTGGTCGGACCCACCTTTCACATTATTAGAAATTGCCAAATAACTCACCACAATAAGGTTCTGAGCAGTGTAAGAGAGTTCCTGTTTCCTCACATCCTCACAAGACGTGGGTATGGTCAGATTTTAAATTTAGGCCCACCCGATGAGTATGGAACAGTATCTTGTTGTTAATGTATATCCTCATTATTGATGAATTTGAGTATCTCATAACTATGTTAGCCATGTTTATTTCATGAATTTGCTATTTACATCGCTTGCCTGTTTTTTCTTTTTGACCGTAGTCTTCTTACTGATTTATGAAATTTTGTTTTGTTTTGTTTTGTTTTGTTTTTTGAGATGCAGTTTTGCACTTGTTGCCCAGGCCAGAGTGCAATGGCGCAATCTCGGCTCGCTGCAACCTCTGCCTCCCAGGTTCAAGCGATTCTCCTGCCTCAGCCTTCCGAGTAGCTGGGATTACAGGCGTGTGCCACCATGCCCAGCTAATTTTTGTATTGTTAGTAGAGTTGGGGTTTCACCATGTTGGTCAGGCTGGTCTCAAACTCCTGACCTCAGGTGATCCGCCCGCCTTGGCCTCCCAAAGTGCTAGAATTATAGGTGTGAGCCATCGCACTCAGCCTGTGAAAGGTTTTTTATATGCTGAATACTAACACTTTGTATTGTGTTCCTTTCTGGGTCCTCTCTTCTATTTCATTGATCTCCATGTCTGTCCCTTCACTAATACCACACTGACCTGGTTGCCATAGCTACATAGGAAGCCTTAGTATCAGGTAGAGTAATTCCTCCCACTTTATTCTTGTCTGTCAAGATCATTTTAATTAACCTATTTCCTTTGCCTTTTGCATATACATTTTAGAATAAGCTTATTTTTGTCTACAGAATACCTTGCTGGCACTTTGATAGGGATTACATTACACTGATGGATTAATTTGAGCATAATTGAAAAGTCTTCCAATCCATGAACATGAATGTCTCTACATTTATTTCGGTCTTTTAAAATCTCTTTTATCAGCATTCTCTAAGAGCACCCAGATCCTGTACATGTTTTCTTAAGTGTATAGCTAGATATTTCACTTCCTTTGGAGCGATTATGATGGTGTTATGTTTTTAATTTCAATTTCTGCATGTTCATCGTTAGCCTGTAGAAATGCTTTTTTCTGTGTGTTTGTGTCCTACCACAGTGCTGAAATCACTTACTGGTTCCAGGAGTTTGTGTGTAGATTCCTTGGGATTTCTGCATAGATAACGTGTCATCTGCAAATAGGGACAGTTTTATTGCTTCCTTTCTAATCTCGATGCCTTTATTTTTGGTCTTGCATTAATGCAGGACCTAGATCTTCCAGTGCTTTATTGAGAAAGAGTGGGGGCCGGGCGCGGTGGCTCAAGCCTGTAATCCCAGCACTTTGGGAGGCCGAGACGGGCGGATCACGAGGTCAGGAGATCGAGACCATCCTG